TAGAGAAAAATAAGGAACCGCTGCAGGAGTAACAGGCAGCTGAAAGTCAGGTGTGGAAGGCAGAGGGCTTCTTTGATTGTACACGAACAAGTGGGCGGTGGGGAGGCTCGGGGAGCTGCAGACCAGGCCGAGGAGTCAATGGTCAGAACCTCTGGCTTTCAAAGCCAGTTAAATATTCAACCAAGACAGGTTTGTTTTACCAAAGTCAGAGCCCTAGTTAGAAAAATCTGGGATTCTGGCACATGGGATGGAGACATCTGGGGGAAGGTCCTCAAAGATTCTTCTGAACCTGCAGACGTGGCCCACCCCTCCTTATTAAGAGCTAGTACCATCCTTCCCACCACACCTGAAGGCAGTGAGAAGTCTTTCCCTAACAAGACCACATGTACCCCATCAGGGGCCCCCACCACATTCTGGTCACTAGACTTAAAGATTTAAGGGCCAAACATAACCCACTTACAGTGAAATAAGACTTAGAGTGAAGTAAGTGAGACAGAGAAAGACAAATACAGTATGGGGTCAAATCACTGGTTGTCTTTAAGTCTTAATATCACCCAGCTGGGGAAGTGCTGGGCCTGTTGACAGAGGAAAGGGACTCCGTTCCAGATGAGCTGCAAAGCTAGTCAGCAAACATCTGCAGGGGCAGCCGAGTCTGCTTGGAACTAGATTCTGGAGATGCTGGGTTAAGGGGCTAGAACATAACATTGCATAGGAAGCATGTATTGACTTTCTGAGGTCTCCTAAGGTTTGGATTTAATACCCAGGCAAGGACCGCAGGAGCCCGTATGAGCTTGCTACAACGATGGCTTTTAGAAGCATGGAAAAAGGGATTGTCCACAATGACTGAAGTTGCAGTATCTGAATTAGTGTGCAGATGGTGAAGGAAAGGACTAGAAGGTGCAGGGAAGGGGCATGCTGAAGTGGATGTGCTGTGCACTACCAGGGCCCACCAGGTGTGTGTGTTCATGGGAAGGCCTGAGGACACGCCCCTTCCTGAGACCAAAGGATGCAGTGTTGAGGGGCAAGCAGGACTATAGACAGGTAACGCCCACCCCTGGCTGCACATGCACGGCCACTCTGCCAGGTAAGCCTTTGAGGCCAGCAGTGGTAGTGGCTGGAGTAGGGGGTGGTTTAGAATGGTTATGTGTCAAGCAGGATGGAACTTCCATTCACCTTCCCTGAGCTTCCCGCCAGGAGGATGGTCCACGAGGCCCCTGGGGGATCCTGTTCTGCCCAGAGAGACAAGGAGAGGTGAACCCCTGCAGGCAGAGGAGAAGGAGCAGGCTGTGTCCCTCGGAGGGCGGTCGCCAAACAGCCTCCAGCTGTGAGCCACTTCAGGGCTGCCTCGGCTGCAGAGGGCTAACTCCCCCACCTCGTGGGGTCAACCTGAGCACCCACACCTGGTAAATGGTGTGCGTGTGAGGCCTGGCCACCTGGGCCCTATGGGGAATCCTGAGAGGCGGCACCTGCCCCAGAGCACCCTGCAGTTCAGCCCCTCCCTCTGCGCGGCCCTGCTTCCTTCCCTCCAGGGGAAGCATCTGGCATGCCAGACCCCCACTCCCTGCCCACCTCTGGGGGGCTCACCCCTGACATGCTGACGGAGGAACGTCCCTAAACAGCCTCTACTTCATAGCAGCCGGTGGCCATGAGGAGCTCTGCTGGGGGGACCAGAGTTGGGACACCGCAGTTCATCCACGCCTCTGGTCTAGATGAGCTTCCCTGGTATGGTACCCTGGGCCCCATGAAAGGTCACCTTGGCCCCTGCTGGTGTGCTTTGGTTGAAGACAAGGGACACCAGAGATGCCCAGGGACCCCTTAATTTGCTGTTTTGATGCTCAGCAGAGAAGCCTGGGCTGAGAAACCAGGGTGGGAACCATCCCAGGGCATGAGTGGATAGGACCACCCAGCTAATGGGCTCAGGCAGGAGGACAGGGCGCAGTGAGAAAGCCCTGCAATGTCTTCCAGGAGAAGGGAGAAAGGCCCCAGGGCAGAGGTGCCCTGGACCTTGGGAGTGAGTGTGGGAGGGCTTGAAAGGAAGGAAGGGTGAAAGCTCTCCCCAAGGCCAGGATGGTGGTGTCACAGGCGCATAGACAAAGGTTCGCCTTCTCAGTCCATTGTTACCACGTGGTGACTCAGACATGTTACTCAGATGCTCTGTGTCTTAATTTACTCACCATAAACTGGTGGATATTCACCTGTAAAGAGTAAACCTGTCTATAGTGGGGGTCAAAAGAGAGAAAGCTCTTAGACTTCCACCACATGGAGGAAGGACCGATGGCCACGTGCTTGTCTGGGACCCTAGGGTGACCTCACCCCCTGGGGGCCTGGTTGTTCCCGGTATTTGTTAACAGTGGCCTCCTTTCACTCTCAGATGTATCCCAGTTTGGATAATAAACTATATGGCCACCTTCACATTATCTCATTTGTTCACTGAAATTCCATGAACTAGGTCTTGCTGTTCCAATTCACAAACACCGAGTGACCTGGGAGGGTGGTCATTTGCTTGGAGGTGGGTCTGAGTTCCTGATGACAGTTCTCCCCACCTCCAAAGGCCGCTGTCCCTACAATGGCCTCAGAAGCACAGCAGCTTTGCAGGGGGAGCCCCAGGGGGAGCCGGTAGGGACGGGGGTGGAGGCGGCCCGGCTGGACCCGCTGGACCAGCGCCCAGAACCTGGCTGCGGGCGCTTGACGGTTGGCCCTGCCTCGCCAGCGCACAGGCGCTCCCAGGCAGGCTTGCGGTCCCTCCAGCCTTCTTTCTCTCTTGCCTTTCTTATCCCTGGCTTTATAAATTAAAAAAAAAAATGTTATCTTCAATTCGGGTCTTCTTGTTGTTTGGCACACCTCGGGCATCTTATCTTCCTAACAGGAACCAAATGACAGGCTTTAGGAATCTAGGAGCACGATCGCTGTGGGTGAGGCCAGAATAAGAGAGCGACAGTGGATTTGATGTTTGCCCTGTGTCCTCCCATTGCCCTGGTGGGAGGTGCTACTCTTGTTCTCATTTTTCTGAGTGGAAACAGGCTGAAGGGGTGCCCCAGGTCATCACTAAGTGGTGCAGCCAGGATGTGGACCTGGATTAACCATGATGGGTGGGGGGAGTGCGTGTGAAGAGCACATAGGTGTACTAGGGCTCAAAGATTGAAAGGAGGGGCTCAGAGCAGTGTCACCCCCTCATTCCACAAGTGCTTGCTGAGTTCTTACGATGGGCCAGGCAGCGAGGACCCCAAAAGTGAAAAGCCCAGTTGCAGCCCCCAGGCTTGCCGTGAACAGGTCATTTCAGGACAGCCCGAGGGCCTTCCTAGAGGCAGGAACTCCGGACAGTGCGGGCGAGGGGTGGGATCCCCTCTGCTGTGTGTGAAACACGCACATTTTGATAGAGAGCTTGCAGTGAGGCAGGTGCTGTGCCAGCTGCTGAACCAGACCCGAGGTGGGTGTGGGGGCACCCTAGACAGAGGGGCAGCCTGAACGTGGTGCACAGGCCCTGGGGGAGGGAGCAGGCATGAGGCCAGGGAGACAGGCTTGCAGCCTAGGTGGGGCCACATCACAGGAGGCTGTGCGGATGGGTAAGGAGTTTGTCCTTCACCCTGTAGCTGAGGCTTACCCAGCCTTTTGGTTTATGAGGACCGTTTTTTCAGAAGCACTTTAAAAACTTTTGAGAACCCTCCATACGCAAGGATTTTGGCTTTCGGTATCTTTATATTGAGAAAACCCACGAGCATTTGGGGACTCTCTGCAGGTGTCCATTTCTCTCCTTCGGCACTTTTGACCTCTCACCTCTCAGTGTCCCTCCCCGAGAGTCCTCCCTACTCCCTGCTGCTGGAGAGCGTCTTCCACACCTGCGCCTGGTGCTTTCCACCCCCTGCCTCGCCCTCCCCTCCCGTCTTGAGCCTTGCTCCTTTCCCTGTCTCTGTTCCAGTACTGGCCTTGATTTACTGACCAACTGCCCCTGACAGGTGCTGACAAGGTGCTCCTAATTCTGCTTCTGTCTGTGGTTTTCTCCTTGCTGGCGTCCCCTCTGCATCAAGGTGTGATGATGCAAGGAAGTGAGGGGTCTAGCCAACTTTTACAGGGGCCTCGGGGAGCTTCACATGCCCCCAGCTTACACACGTTCCTACAGGTAGTGGATGAGGAGCTGTGGAAGGCTGTTGACATGAGACCCTCAGGGCACGTAACCCGTGCCCCCTCTCCTGCCCCAAGGTGCAGAGACAGTCAGGGCTCTGGCTGTCCTATCTCAGTGGGGCCTGGGCCACGGCACCACCTGCTGTGAGATGAGGTGAGGCAGATGTCAGCCTTGGCCTCCTGGACTTTGTTGGAGCCCCACAGGGATGTAGTGTTCTGCTGGGGATGGTGAGGTGGCAGATGGCAAGGGCCTGGTCCGTACCTCGGTGACCCAGCCTGCCCCTCACTCTCTGGCCTTGGAGTCCTGAAGGCGACTAGTTCTGGGCAGGTGATCTCTCAGGGCAGGGTGGACCAAGAGGCCCTGGCAGATCCCTCTTCCTGCCAAATGGTGTTGCAGACTGAGATGTTCTCACAGGAAGCCTGGCACCCAGGGCATGTTTTGGGGTATGTAGGACTTCAACCCATGGCTCAGATTTTAAGAGGGGCCCAATACCAGTTCCTTAACAGGTGATTGAGACCAGCTGGCCCCTGGCTAATTTTTTTGGCCTTGACCCTACCGGAGGTGGCTTCATGGAGATGGAGCCTGTCCCCTGTCTCTCCTCAGACTGTGATGCCAGGCCCTGGGGGCACTGGGAATGTAGGGCTGTGGCAAGTGAAGGGAAGGCAGACACACTGTGGCCTTCCCCATGCCAGCCTGGAGACCTGGCGCTGGGCTCCTAGCAGCCTGGAAAGCTGTTATTCTAGAACCTGATAACTGCCTGGGCAGGGCTGAAGATAAGAGGCAGCTGTTTGAAGTCCAGAGAGATAACCGCTTCAGAGAAAGTCGATAAGAACAGTGAGATGCACTGGGTCCAGCTCACCAGTCTTGCCTGTCTGCCTGAGCTAGCTTCCATGGCCCCCAAGTCAGGTTCCCCAGCACAGCACACAGCCTCAGAGTCACAGGTCTCCTAGCTGGCAGTCCGTGCAGCAATCCTGACCCTCTCTGCCAGGCCTGTAGGCCTCTGCTCTTGTCCTACAGACGGCTCTTTCCAAGCAAATTTCTTGGCTGCACGTGGGCCTTCTTCCCAAATGCATTCACTTGTGCATTTGTTCTTTTAACAAAGATTTCATGAGAGCCCATTTTGTGCCAGGCACAGTTCTGGGCACCGGAGATATAGTAGAGAAGCAACCAGGCACGGTCTGTGCTTTTAGGACTTAGGCTCTGGGTGGTCCGGGACAAACTAAGCCTGTCACTGCAGTGAGCACAACAGAGGAAATGAAGGGAGGATGCGGTAGAGGGAAACCACGGGAGGGGACTGCGTGGCCTTGGACAGAGCGGCCAGGATGGCCTGTCTAAGGAGAGCCGGACGATGAAAAGGGGCCCAAGGAAAGCCTGTCTGGAGAGAGTGCGGGCAAAGGCTCCAAGACAGAGGGTGGTCTCGGGGGGGCAAACAAGCCCGGGGGCGGGTGAGAGTGGGAGAGAATGATGCGGGCAGAGGCTCAGTGACGGCGGCTGGAAAGCCTAGATAAGAAGTTTGGAGACGATTACATGTCAGTTGGAAGTTGAATCGGAAGAAATCTTATTTACATTTTGAAAATTTCCCTTTAGCTGCTGTGTGGAGACAGGATGGGAGAAACAGGCCGTTCGCGGGAAGCACAAGCCTGCAAGGATGAATCCCAGCTCAGCTGCCAAGCTGTCTGCTAGACCCTGGGTGAGTCACTCCTCTCTGAGCTTTTGTTTTCGGTTATAAAGTGGGGCGTCATTCAGCCTGTCTTTATCAAGCGCCTCTGTGCTCGGGTGCTGCTCTGGGGGTGCCTGTGTGGGGCTCATGTTCTAATGGGGGAGTCCGATGTGGAGCTGAAAAGCCAGCTGGGGGCGCCGCGCTCTCCGTGGGGGATTAGGACAGGATGCCTTCTGGGTGACCGGGCGTGGCGCAAAAGGGTGCTGGACAGGGCGGTGACATTTAGCCTGAGACCCAGATGCCGCTGGAAGGGCCTTAAGCAGTGAAGGGCCCCGGGAGAGAAGGGCCGAGGGATGATAACAGATGGGCGGCTGGGCTGACAGGGTAAACAAGCCTGTAGTAAGTGCTCAACAAACGTCAGCGCTCATAAAGATTCCTTTATGGCCGGAGTGCCGGCAAGAATCGGGGCTTTGAGAGCTGATCAGATGTGGGGACTAAGGGGAAAGGAAAAACCCAGAAAACTCTTAGGACTTTGGCTTCATAGTAAGTGGGGGTGTTGCTCTGAACTGAAGAGTCTCCTGCCCGCACCCAGGCCCTGTGCTCATTCTGGGGGAATGCACAGTGCCCTGGGTAGGTCCTTACCACCACCCTTGGCTGGCCCCCTGTCCACACCCTGCCTCGCCCTGTGCATCCGCCCCTGCGCTCCCAAGCTTCGGGGCAAACACCTCAGGCTCACTGAGGCCTCCCACACGGCCTGCCTGAGCCCTGGACACCCAAAGAATCTTAGAGACCCAGGTTCATCCTCTCCCATTTTCCATGTGGAAACACAGGCCACATGATCCACCTTGCACTCCTTTTCCTCTATTTTTCAACAACAGTCATTAAAATATTTTTTACTCTCCCGCTGAGAGCTACTTTGGGTACCGGAGATAAAGCAGAGAACTGAACCAAACAGACAAAATCCCGTCTTCACGGGACCAACAGTCTACCTGGGGAAGCTGACCACAGAATATAATTAAGGATCAGTAAACAAATAATTATGTCATGTGCTGATATGCTCCCTGGAGAAAAATAAAGCAGGGGAAAGGACCCAGGCAAAGCCGTGGGGTGAAGGCGGGCTTCCGTGTGGACTTAGCACAGAAGGTCGCCTGGCTAGGGAGAGTTTGAGCAGAGATCTAAGGACATGAGCCGTGACACCATCTTGGGAAAGTGACTTCTGGGCAGAGAGCAACTTGTGGGGGCCGGAGGCTGGAGTGTGAGGCCGCCTGGAGGAACCGAGCAGCAGCATGGGGCCCAAGCTGCAGCAACAGCAGGGGGCAGGGAGACAGTGGGGGCGCGAGGTCCGCAGTCTGGCAGATCTGGGAGTGCCTGGTGGGGTTTTGGCTTTGCCTAAGACGAGGCCCCACCAGAGGGTTTGAACCATCTGGCTGCTATGCAGGAAATAGAACGGGGACCCCTGCCTCCCTCCTCTCTCTGCAGAGCCTGGACTGAGTCTGGTGCTCAGCCCACAGGTGGTCTGCTAGCAGGCTGGCTGGACTGCTGTCCTTGCCAGCATGTGGTTCCTCGTGGACCTCAGCTGGCCCAGAATGCATGACCAGTCAGGCGGGGAGGGGTTGGGCTCCTGCCTGCAGCCTGCCGGCCGGAGGAAAACACCAGGGCCCCCGCAGGCCTGCCTTCTTCCAGGTACCAGTTTTCATGAGTGCTGTAGTGAGTATGTTCTGACGTCATCGTGCATTGCACTGACCCATGTATTTATTCATATCCCCGTTTGTCAGCTGTTACTTATTCCATCTCTGCTGGGTTAGAAACTTCCTAAGGGGAGGGACTGGGTCTCCCAGACATTTGAATTAACCTTGACCTTGCAAAAGGCCTAAACTCCAAGGGTGGCTGCTGGCAGAGACACAAGCCAGGCAGGGAAGAGCAGGGATCCATAGCCAGTGACCTGGGAGTCAGGAGACCTAAACTTCATGTTTCAGTTGTGCCACTGAACTTGCTGAGTGATTTCCCTTCTCTGAGCCTCAGTTTCCCCATCTATAAAATGATGTGTACTGGGCTAAATCAACAATTCTTACATTATTTTGAAATACCAACAATACCTATGGTGCCCCTAGAATAATAAATAGGTGCCCCAAATTTTGCATGTGGTTAGATGTGAAATCACCAGTCCCTAGATTTGTCCCTAAGGTGTCTTCCAGTTCTGATAATGTGATTTTATTGTGCTCTGACTGTAACACTTGCTCAGGGAGGGTCCAACCTTGAGGGTGGGACTGGTTTTAATCTCCATGTGGCCCAGGAGTTGTTTCTCTTGGGTTCTTAAAAAAAAGGCATGTGGGGTTCTTTTGTGAGGGGAGAGGAATCTGTGGTCTGGAAGCTGTGTGTCCTCAGCCTCTGGCCCTGGACACATGGGGTGATGGGAAGGGAAGGCCCCTGGAGGCCAGCCCCCAGCTCTTCCCACATGGGAGACTCGGCAGAAGGCGGGAGGGCCACAGGGTGAAGGGGAGACATGGGAACTGGCAGGAGGCGAGGGTTCGGAGGTGGTGACATGCAGAGGGCTGCACACTGTTAGCAGGATGGGGGCCTGGGTCAGGTGTCTCTGGGCAGAGACTCACCCAGGGCCACAGCAAATGGAGAAGAGGCCCCTGTGGTGTAAGAGGCTCCAGGAGACGGGGGTGGCCCTGCGCCAGGCCAGGCCCCACCCTTTCTCGCCCGCTAGTGCCTCTCTGCACGTTCACACCCAATGCCGCGCTGGCAGGGCTGTAAACTGAGCCCTGGGTGCGAAGAGGGGGAGAGACCAACAAGGACAGGGTGGGTCTCTGCCCTTGTTGGTCTCTGGCCGCTCCCTTGGGCTCCTAGGTGCACCCAGGCCCAGCCCAGGGGAGAAAGGGTGTTCTCAGGGGCCCGGGACAGGTAAGGATTAGGGGCTGATGACAGGCTGTGGGCCGCTCGGAGGACAGCTCCATAATCCCCAGCACCCTGCGCTGTAGTGCCCTTTGACCCAGCCTCTGAAAGCTTGATTATGAGGCACAGCCCATGTTTCCATAAAGGGGAGAACAATTGTTTCCAGCCCAGACAAAGAACTCTTTGTACAGCCCTGGGACCCGAGCCCCAGGAGCCACTGGGGGAGAGGGAGGGCGGCCCTGGGGGGTGGGTGGGGCGGGCAGTGCTGGGCGAGGCGCCTGCAGGCTCCCACCGAGCTGCCCCTGATGGGCAAAGGGCATCAGTGATGCCCGCCACCCACTGGGACGGCATGCCTAGGCCCTGGTGGTGAGGGCACTCCCTTCTGAAATGTTCCAGCCTCAGGCTCAAAATGCATGCCATCAGCCCTGTGAGGGCTGGCTTTGGGGTATTCAGCTGTCCCCCGTTTGGGGGAAGGGCGAGCTCCTCATTGCCAGGTTCTCACACCCGAGCAGACAGGTATCAGGGTACAGAGTGAGGGACTTGGGGTGCAGAGAACCTGGGGCTAGGACTTGGGGAATGGTTGGAAGCAGGAATGAAGAAGGGGGTGTTGGGGGCAAGGTAGTAACTGAATGCAGCACCGTCTGTCCAGTTCGGAGCTGCCTCTCGCCCATCCCCACCTGCTGTCACCGCTTCCCTGGGGCCTGGGTGTAAAATACCTTTAGATTTGCAAAACAAATCAGGCTGTTGGAGAGGTAAGAGCTTTGCTCAACTCACAGTGCGAAGGAGAGAAGCCCGGATGGTGGGGCTTCTGCTCAGCTCCAGGTGTGCTTCTCACTCGTTGGTTAGTGGAATCTGCCCTCTTCCCTCACTACCATCCCTTCTGTCTGCATGTGATGAGACCTAGCTGGGTGCTGACCCTGCACTGGCCTCCCAGCAGGGAGCTGGCCTTGGCCCTGAGGGATTATGGGGACACGATTCAGGGGGGCTGTGGGCCAGGTTAGGGATCTTATTGGGGCTGTACCCTCAGAGACCAGACTGACTCCTTTTGGGGAGAGATAGGAAGTGTTGAAGGCTCCCTCCCCAAACATAACCAGCACCACCTACCCATAACACTCAGCTGGGTTTACTGTTGAGCTTGGCGGGGGAGAAGGGTCCTGGCAGAAGTTGGCAGCCTTTGGGGCAGGGTCTGGACATGCTGAGAATCGGAAGTTTGATGTAAGACAGCCTTTCAAGGGTTGAGGGGCCTGGACTAGAACTGGGTAAGGATTAAACAGCAAGGCGAGCATTTTTGACGCAAAGGATTTGGAGAATTTTAAGGAGCAAGCCATTGAAGTTGACGGGTCTTTGGGGAAGTTCCTTTGGTGAACAACCAGGAATTACCAGAAGAATGAGTCATGCCAAGGGAGTAAGGCCATGTCAGCGAGACTGGAAGTTGTGCGGGGTAGGTAGTTTGTATGTCAGGTGTAAATTTAGAGGGTAAAGTCTCTAGGGGCTTGTCTGGGATCTGGGGAGCAGCTGGCATCTCTGCGGTCGGAGGAGCAATGACCGACTGCAGGACGGAGACAGAGAAGCTTTACGCTCCGCTGACCCCAGGAGAGGCCAGGACCCAGGCGTGTGGGCTGGGAGCCAGGCCTGCAGGTGCCCAGCCAGCCCCTGCCCGTGGAGACGAGCTGTGCTGACTTTGGCAGCCCTACCCCAAACCTCCTCCTACCCCAGAAAGGCCCGAAACTGACACTAGGCCCTGACGGGGCTGGAGGGGTTCCCAGGCCGGCCCTGCTCAGGCCGGCTGTGGCAGGGTGCTGCCCTGGGGAGAGGAAGCCAGCGGGCATGCCTGGGGGCGGACGCTGCTTCTGGAGGGGGCTGGTCCCGGGGCGCAGCTGGTCAAGGCCAAGGCTGGGGACATCAGGACTGAATGAGTGGCCTCTTCTTGGTCTCGGACTGAACTCCTGGACAGACAAGGCAGAAGGAGAGGAGATGAGCTCTGGGAACATCAGCCACCCCCAGATGGGCTTCTATTTCTGGTGTGCCTACAATGACCTGAAATCCACATTCATTACAACAAACAGAGTCATGGAGAAGAAACGAGGCGTGGAGAGCTTCAGTGACTTCCAGACAGACGGGAGGGAGTGCAGAGTCAAGTTTCTGTGGCTTCAGCCGCCACCTCTGCTGAGCCACTTGGCAGCATCCTCCCGGGCCATCCGGGATCTTGTTCCTGGGATGCCAAGAGGGCGCTCAGTTCACTCTTGTCTTGGCTGAAAGAATGAGGTGAAGGCCAGAAACAGACCTGGGGAGAAGAGGGAAAGAAGTGAGGGAGACGGAGACGTTCGTTCAGTCCAGGGGGCTGGGCAGGAGCAGTGGCGGGCTGAGAGGCGGGGAGATGGGGAAGGGCGTGCACGTGCGTGCGACTAATACCATGCCAAGGGCTTAAAATCACCTTTATATCCATTGTCCCTTTTCAGAACCGGATGGGCATAGGTGGGATGGGGACCCCAGGTAGCCACAGACGGAGGTGTGTCGGGGGCGGGGGCAGTAGAGGGAAGGTGCTGGGAAGACAGGAGGGAAGGCAGAGCAGCAGGTGCCAGAGACACTGTTCTGCCAGCTCCCCACCTGCGTGCGGCCGGGCCTTCCGGCGTGGCACCATGGCGATGGCTGGCTGGGAACTTGGTGTCCTCCTCTGCTGCCCATGGGTGGTCCTCTGGCCAAGATTCTGCCTTGCTGAAGGCTGAGAGATTTGTGTGTGGGGATGACTGGGAGTTACTGGATCACAGATACTGACAGGCGCCATGGACAGTGCAGGGTCCTGGGGGTGCCCTGGGCTCTGGGATGTGAGGGGTGATCCACCCAGAAGAGGACTTTCTGTCTGGTCACGAGTGACTTTTCAATGCCCTAGATTGAGAGAAAGAGAAAGAGGAGGGAGGGGAGGAGAGGAAGACATGGGCTGGGCTCCCAGGTTGTCAAGCCCTAGGAATTCACCCCCATGTCATCTCTCTTCCATGCCTCACCTCCCCTAAGTAACTTAATAATAATAATAATAGCAGCTGTTGTTTACTAAAAAGTACCTTGGGCCAGACACTTGGTTAAATTCCTCCTTTTAACTTTATTTCTCAAATTTGCAAAAACCTAGCAAGTTAGGTATTCTTGCACCCATTTTACAAGCAAGTAAACTGAGTCCCTGGGAGGTTAAGTACCTTTTTCACTTGGTCTAGGATTCTTTTATCCTGTCTGGAGCTGATCCCAACCTCAGAGAAGGATCCATCCTCACTGCCAGCTTTCTATGCAGACTGTCACCAGCAGGGAGGGAGGCCACAGCCACACAGCCCCGAGCCCTGGGTATCCCCATTAGTCATTCAGCCTACAATGTCAGGCCTACAAATGTCAGCCCCTGTGGGCATGGACTCACTCCCTTGTTCGGAGCTTCCTTCCTCCAGACCAAGCCTTCCACCGCTTCCCTCCCTTCTAGACCTTTCCAGTTGCCATCTACAAGTCTTGATCCATGAACACTCCACATGCTCAACTATTCCCAGCACTTGCGGCCTCAGCAGGAGCCTGGCTCTGCTGAGGACCCCGCTTCCCAGCAGCACCCGCAGGCGCGGTGCCCTCCCTCTGGGCGCGGTGCCCTCCCTCTGGGTGCGGTGGGGCCGTGCTCACTAGTGTCCCTTCCAGAAGTTCCCTGGAGGCCCTTCACTCTGCCTTTGCCATCTTTCTCTTCTTTGTCCCTCTTCTCTACCACCTGCTGGTCACTTGACCTCCCTCTCTGCAGGCGGGAGAACCTGCACTGGGTTCTCTTCTCATCCTGCTGTTATTCTGGGAGATTCCAAAGTCCACAGAGGAAACCCCATCCAATCCGGGTAACCCTTTTTGTTCCTTGACCTCGACTCCATAGACCTCCCCCTCCACTCTATGCTAGCCGGCCGTTTCCATGGCCATATCCTGTATCATGTCCTCACTAAGAACTACCCCACCACTTAAATTCAAATATCCCTTGACCTCCCCTTTCCCTGACAGCTTCTTCTAGTCTTTCTTTCTAATATATAAATTTGAAACTTCCTGTCCTTTGATATTTCTGCCTTGTCCCTCTAGCTATTGCCACTTTCTGCTTTTGTTCCCTCCAAATCCTCCAAATTCTATTTTAAGCAAAAGGAGGGCTTTCTTTTTTTAAAGGAATAAAGTTAGCTCCCAGAATGGGCGAGAGGGTCCTAAACTCAGAATCTAGGCTGAGCGTCCAAAGCACGTCACAAAATCAGGCTTCCCTGTCCTAGTGGAGAAGCCGTCTGAGCACAGGATCCGGCTACAGCCATGGGCTCAGCCCCTGACTCTCTGCTGTGATCCACAGCGGCCCATATTGGTCTGTTAGGTTTTCTCCTCCATGGTGGGAGTGGAATTGGCTTTTAGTCTTTACTTAAAATGCTTCTTTACTGCTGTTTTAAAAAAGATGCATTCTTTTTGTAATTAAAACCAATTTTAATTGGTAAAATCAAACATCTTACCCATTGTCCAACTCTTTCTATACCCAGGGCACCACTTTGATGCAGACCATCAGCGCCTCTTTCCTGGCCTTCTACCGGTAGCCTGCTAACTGGTTTTCCAGTTTTAAGCCTTGCTTCTGTTCCCTGGACCCCTTCTGATTTATCCACCATTCTGCGGCAGGGTGATCTTTCTGATGAATACCTCTGATCTCAACACTCTTTACTTAAAATCCAGCGGCTCTCCAGCTGCCCTCAGATAAAGCCTAGACAAGGCCCCTCACAAGCTGACTGTAGGGCTCTCTTGGCGTCCTCTTACCCCCACCACACTACCATCTCCTCTCCACTGTGGGTTTGCTGAACCAGTCTGCATACCGCTGGGTTTTTGCAGTTACATTCCCTCTGCCAGGAAAACTCATCTCTGTCTTTGCCTGATTAACTCCTACCTTAGGCCTAAAAAGGTTTTAAGTTAGATGGCACCTCTTCCAGGAAGCACTCCTTGATCACCTCCCCCTGGATTAACGGTCCCTCCCTACTATTCCTCAGAGCTCTGTGCCCATCTGTTGTGTTATTGCCCATCTCCCCAGCTAGACCAGAAGCTCCTGTGAGCCTTGTTTACTGCTTCAGGTCAGCACCTAGTAGAGCCTGATGCCGTTCAATGTATGTGAAATGAATGAGTGAATGGCCCAAGCCCACATAGCTAGGAAGAGCCAGACAAACCCAGACCAGTCACTTTCCTTCATGCCATGTTACTTTTCTGAATAAGTCAAAGCAATCTGGCTCTTAAGGTTGTTTATTTTTTTTAAACAACTATGAATAATAATCAACATACAATAAAATGTACATATTTCAATTGTACAACTTAGTAAGTTTTGACGTTTGCATACACCCATGAAGCTAACAGCATAGTCATATCCATCATCTCCCCCAATTTTTTCAGAATGAAAGATAGATCAATAGATATATAATGTTAGAGTACAAGAAGTTCACTGATAAGGTTTCAGATTCCACATTGCAACTAATCTCTAAGAAACTCATTGAGATTGGTGTAGTGTCAAAGAATAGCCCCAATAATATAAAAAGCTATTAAAATACCCCTCACTCTTTCAGCTGCATGTCTGTGCAATGTTGAGTTTCATTCTTCAACCAAAATAACGTATCAGAACAGAGTTAATGCTGAAGCATATAGGAGAATCCAGCTGTATTCTATTAAGCCAGATGTTTACAAGATTTGGGAGAAATATAGAGCAGTGCCGTTTCTCTCACTATTTTGTTTTGGGAAATATGTCTTGTCAATTAAAATGTTATTATGTTAACATATAATGGTTAACTATTTTTTTAAATAGATGCTTTTTACTTCCTCAGTTTTAATTTCTAATTTGAAAAATAGCAATAGATATAACCCACATGTACAGAAGATCTTTAGAATCTTCAATAATTTTATGAGCACAAACAGGTCCTGAAACAACAAGCTGAGAATGGCTGGCATTAAGACCAGAGTCTAGGAGAGAAAGCCCCTCGCTTAGACTGCCCACCTTTGGACTGGGGCTGTGCTCATTAGCAGTGTATAGTAGAATTGGGTGCAATTTCACAATCTCTCTGCTCCCTAGTTATTGCGTATATAAAATGGGTATGATTATCATGGTACTTACCACAAACAGTTTTTGAGGATTCCACAAGTTGATGCATGGATAAGCATTTAAAACAGAGCTTGGCACATAGAAAATGCCTGACAAATGTTAGATATCAAAGGGGCTCAGTGTATGCCACCCCAAAATATGCTACTTTGGCATAAAGATTATTTCGAGCTTAAGGCAATTGAAAAAAAAGCACCCTGCCTTTCTCCCATCTGCTTACAAGCAAGGCATACATTTCCCTTGTGAAGGTGCTCCCTTCCTGGTGCCAGGGCGCCAAGATGAGTCTGCATAAACTATACCTCGCCATTAGTTTCTGCCATATATTTACCTTCCCATAATTTACGACCGCTAGAAGCCCCAACCTTTTTCCTGTCTCTTTTCCCTTTCCCACAATGCATTGCCCTTTGTTAACATGGTATATGTAAGCCCCCAAGTTTAACTACTGCTTTACACCATCATTTCTTTTCCACGAAGGCTTTCATGCACATAAAAATTAAGATATTAACATCACATAAATGTTAATATTTTGTATGCCTCTCCTTCTGTTAATCTATCTTTTGTTATTTAGTTCATGCATTCCAGTCACTGAACTTCAAAGAGTAGAGAAGGGTTTTTCCTCCTCTATACCATCATCAGCAGCGGCCAGGTGGTCCAGAGAAGCAGGAAATGCCACAAAAAAAGAGCCCTCAAAGTTTAAACCCTTTCTTTTAAAGACTTCCAAGCATCAGCAAGTTACCCCCTCATCTATGGGATGGGAACTTCCCCAGCGACAGTTTGGAACACGGGAGTATAATTAGGTCCTGTCTTCAAGGAGTTCACCACAGAACGCGGGTGAGCCGGTGTGAAGTCTCTCACCGTACCCATTCACGGCCCTTGCACGAAAGTGCTTTCTGATTTTGTCCTCACAATAACCCTGGGATAGTAATCAGGGAAGGGGATTACTATTAATTCATATGTCCGTTAATATATCCATACTTCTAAATGATTAACCGGAGCCCTGGGGAGCCTGTGGGAGTTAACCACATGCGGTAAAGACGAGTCCGGATCAGGACTCAGTACTCTGACTGCTGTTCTTTCTGAAACATCCCAGGGATTTGCATCATGCAGGAGATGGAAGGATTGAATGCCAAGCAGAGCACCTTCCATCCTAACTGCAGAGCCGGGAACTGCCCAAACAAAGCCTGCTCCCGCCTGCAGATTCCTCCCGCCTGCAGATCCCACCCGCCTGCATCTCCTCAACCTCCTTCCCAGCCCTCTCAGCGGGTGCAAACACCCCCTTTTCCTGCTTCAGCAACCCTCCCACCTCTGCGCCCAGGGACCTTTCCCATCCCTTCTCCCCTCCTTTTCTTTCTTTCTTTTTTTTTCTGAAGCAGCTTACTGAAGATACCAGCTCCATACAGTAAAATACACTCATTTTCAGCGTACCTCTTGTTGAGTCTTGACACAGCATACAACCCCGCACCCACCACCCTAACCAAGGGTAGAGCCTTCCCATCACCCCCTAAATTTCCAGGGGCTCTTTCTCAGTCCATCTCCGCCTTTGTCCCCCAGCCCCAGGCAACCACCAGTCTTCCTTCTCTCACTATTGTTTAGTGTTTTCTGGAATATAAACGGAATCAGGCAGTCGGTACTGGTTAATGTCTGCTGTATGTACCCAGAGTCATGTTGCTGAGATCTACCCACGATGCTTCATATCCCAGTAGTTTATTCCCTGTGATTGCTGAACGGTGGTCCACCGCATGATGTACCATTATGTGTTTATCCATTCAGCTGTTGGTGGTCAATCAGGTTGATTCCAACTTTTGGCTAGTATGAATAATGTTGCTATGAACATTTCTATACAAGCCGTTGTGTGGACATGTACTTTCATTTCTCTTGGGCAGATACTAGGAATGGCATTACTAGATTGCATGATAAAGGTATGTTTATAAGAAAGTACCACAACATGGATAGTATATTATAAAGCTAAACATACGCTCTCATCTCTATTTCCCACCATGACTTTTTATGCACTGCCAAAGTATAAGTTCCAGGCAGTTAAAAATATGAATCTCCTACGTAAATAGTAAACATACACCAAAGCTTTATTTACTTTAGTAAGTGTAAAGTGGTTCAGCGGAGGGTACAAGAGTCCATAGAGTCGGTCAAAGAAAGAATACTGGAACGAGGGCGCAAAGCTGGGTACAACACTGGTTAATGTCCTATAAGATAATAGTACTGTAACCTTTGACATATTTTTTACCAAATACAAATTACTGTAACACACCAATTTCCTGCAGTTAACATCTGACTTTACAAAGCCCTCAGTAATAAATTTTAAGTCAAACAAAGCTACCTTCCCTGGAGTGCCCAGTCATCTCAGACTGGCTTGGTAGTGCTCTAGAATGGTTTTGAAAGACCATGCAGTCATCTTTTGCCTGATTTCCAAATTTTGGTAATTTTTCTTGGTAAGAAATGCTAAAATGCTAAAAGTTCTTAAATACCCTGCTCTTCCGCGTCTCCATCTTTCTCTCTGTGCCCAAGCAGCTCTCCTCCTGTTGGCGGACTCTACCCCTCCTTCAGGCCCGAGGTGGGAGGTCCAGGCTCTGACACCGCCCACCCCCACCACACCTGGGTTTGGGCGCTTTGGGCTCTGGCGAGGCTCTGGCCTCTTCCCACCTTCCCGGCCTCCGGCCAGTCACTGCCAGCAGGAGTTTGCCTGGCAGCCCCGGCCTCCGGCCAGTCACTGCCAGCAGGAGTTTGCCTGGCAGCCCCGGCCTCCGAAGGCAATGCTTCCACAGGGTGGAGCTGCTTCTCCGGTTGTGTATCCCCAGGGCCTAGTCCGGTGCCTGGCACCCTGTGAGCCTTAACAAATGTTTGCAGAATCACTGAATGAAGTGCTGGCTAGATGCCTCCTCAAGGTCTCTTCCAGACTAGATGAGTCTCTGTTTATGGATTGGTTGCCATGGTTACTCATTCCCTCCCCACTGAAATACAAAGGAAACACAAAAAAAACAGAGGCAGCTCTCCACCCCCTCCAGCCCCTCCAGAGGTGGCCCAGCCCAGGGGGAGAGGGGACTCATATTTGCATGTGTTTGGAAAGAGGGTCTTCAGGGCTCCCGTGACCTTTCCCCTGAGTGCTTTGGGGTAGGGAGCTCACTCCCCAGGGATAGGCTGGGCCTCCCACTGGGACTCATGGTGATTTAGAAACACAAAGAGCTTAATTGTATGGTAATATTCTCTCTACATATATTCTGGGCCTATTGAAATCATCTCTGTGCCTTTGAAGCCTTTTATTCTTGGCTTCCTTAACTAAATAAGCCCCAGAGGCCGCTGAGTGTCCTAGGAGAGGAGCTTTCTTTGTGGGAGGTACCGCGACCTCTGACCCCCACCAGGACTCTCCCTTGTGGCCCAGTCCCTGCCCATTCCCCTTACAATCCCAGCCCAGGCTGGGACAGAGCCGTCCACCAACACCCTGTAGCACATCCAGGAAGCTGAACGAAGCGTGACCAAAGGAAGCGGCCAAAGAGTAACACAGTCTTCGGTTGGCAAAACAGTGCTTCCTGACCAGGGTTCTTGGGCCTAGGGTGGTCATCAAATGTATCCTTCAAACCCAGACGCTGACAGGTGAAGGGGACACTATTAATAATATGATGGGACAGCAGCATAGACCGTCAGCCAGGTCCTCTCACAGGCACAGGACTCTGGGCGGGTCACCCACAGAGCACAAGCATTCACGGCACAGAAGTTCACTCTCAGCTCAGCTGGGAATTCAAGACAGCAAGAGACCTCCGGCCCAGGGAAGCTCAGAGTCGGGGGGGATGATGACTTGTGGCAAGAGCTTGGGGAAAGCTTGGATGAAGCTGTGGTAAACGGCAGGCAAGGGGGAGGAGAGGGTGCTGGGGCGCATGGGGGGCCCCTCACCTCCCCGAGAGGGCTGTTGGTCTGGGTTAGCCCCTCAGGGGCCCTGAAGGAGGAGCAGAAGCTGGTAAAGGAGAGTTTCGGTGTGAACAGCACAGTGCTTCTCAGGAAAACCTGCCTACGCAGTCACAGGGGGGAGAGGAGGCGTTGATCTCTGCCCTCCTCTCGGTGCTGTCCTCGGGGCGCCGCGCTCAGATCCCCATCTCCTCCAAAAGCCACGTAGGGCAGGGGGGCACTTCCTCGCTGACTTTCAGAAAAGTTTGTTAAATAAACGAAAGACAAAGACTACACAATTCTTCTGTGATGTAAATGTGAGACTTAGTATTTTGGTTTATTTATTATTATTGATGTTAGAGAGCTCTTCTATAGCATTTTTGTCTTCCAAAAATTGAGCCAATATGCTGGACCTTGTACTGGAAGTATAAACAGGTCATTCTGTTTAATCTTCACAACAATCCTGCCAGGTAGGTGTCCTGGTCCCCAAGTTACAGATGAGGCCTGCAGAGGTCAGAAACCTGCCCAGGTCTCAGGTAACAAGCAACAAGCTGAGATTTGCTAGGATGACCCAATGATACTCCGAATTCTCTGAATTCCACTTCCTTAACCACAGTGCTACCTACACATAGTCAGGGAAGGCCTGCCTGACTCGTAAGTGGCTTGGTCACCCTTGGGAGCAGCCCCAGGGACCCCTGTTTCCGGGGAAGGTGGAGGTGAGCAGCAGGGAGATGTGGGAGTTGGGGTCACAGGCCCCTGGCTGGCCACCTCCCAAGGGGTGGGCCAAGCTGGGTCTCGTTGCTGTGGACGAATCTGCATTCCTCCACCCTCCTCTCCCCAGGGTGGAACCGTTCTTCCCAGAAGAGCAGAACAGCCCTGTGACGTCACACCACTGGGCAGGGCTTCCGGGGACTGGTGACACTCACTGACGTCAGGGAGGTGAAGGGGCCCATGGCCCCCACCCCCAGGGCAGCACTGGGCACCTTTAGCAGTGATTACAATTACAATCTCTCTCTCAGAACCCTTTCCAAGCTGGAGGTGGGGTTGACCCTGGGGTAGGGCAAGCCTGCTGGGACTTCTCCTGGCTCTGGGATTTGAACCCAGTGCTCAGGAGTCTTGGGACCACTAATATGCTGTGTATCTCTAGCCAAGTCACTTGTCCTCTCTGGGCCATCTCAAGGGCACAGACTCCTAACTCAATAAAATGAAGAGGTTGGAGGAGAGATTTCTGAGGACCCTTTCAGGGGTCCCAGAGGAGCGGAGAGTGTGGAGCCTGGACTGGCCTGTGCTGTGGCCCAGATCTGTCTTTCCCCACCCTCCACTGCCCCTCTCATCCCTGGTGGCCACAGAGTGAGAACGTGACTCACCTGGCTCGCACCTAGTTTCAGCCTCTCCCCGCCCCGGCCTCTGGCCTTCCAGTCGCTGTTTACTCCTGGGAGCAGGTGCACTCGGTCATCTCACTGAGGGAGGGGGTGAGGCAAGGCCTCAGGACACGGGGACACTACCTGGCTACCTGGTCAGTCCCTGCTGGGGGCCCAAGGCCCAGACAGGGGTCTTAGGGCTCCCCAGCAAGGTGAGCGATTTGAGGGGCAAGCAAAAAGCTCCCAGAGGCTTGACCCACTTGCCCCGCAGCTCTGCCCTTCCCGGAGGTCCTGGGCTCCCCCTCCCCTGCCCAGCTGCTGAGCCTCCTGCTATCTGCCTCTAATCTCTTCCCCAGCCTCCTGGTTATCGGTGGTTTCAGGCATCATTCGTCATTCTCAGGCTTCTCCCAAAGCAGCACGACCCCACCCTTGCCACCCTTAGCCCCAAAGGCCCCCAGGTATAGCTCAGCCTGAGCGGGTGGGGGAGGAAGCCCCCTGTAGGTGGGGGCGGAGGTGTGGAGGGCAGGCCCGGCTCCACCAGCCCTGCGCCAGCAGGAGGGGAGAGTGTGTGCTGGGGGCTTGGGCTGGAAGACAGGCAACCTGGGATGGAGGGACGAGCGAGCGTAGGGGAGAGGAGAGCTCTGGGGGGACCCGCAAGGCGGGGCAAGGACCCCGGGTTGCGAGTCTGGGAACTTGGCTTTCGGTCCTGGCTTGGCCACCGCCTCCTTCTGTGACCCTGGGGATGTCCATTGCTCTTCTGGTGCCTCAGTATCCCCATCTGTACAAGGCACGGGCTCAACTGGCTGAGCCAGGGCCTCTTCTAGCCTGGTGTTCTGTGGTCACCCAGGTGGGCTTCACCATCCAGTGCCGACTTGAGCTTTTGCTAGTCTTTGAAGGAGAAAAAGAGACGTGCTGGCTATCACGGAGGAGGGCAAGAGTTGGTCATTCCTGTGTGAGGCAGCCCAAGGCAACCCGGGAGCCCTCCAGCCGCCGGAGGGGGCCCGCGTCCCTGGTCCCAGGACCCAGAGCACAGAGCAGACAACAAAGCCAGGCAGGTGGAAAATTCCCTCTGGCATTCTGCCCAGGTACCCTGGGCGGGCAGGAGCCAGGAGTGCAGGGTACCCACAGACAGCCTGCCCCACAGGGAGCTGCAGAGGGGCCTGCCCAGCTCCCTGACCCAATTGCTCCCCGCTGCCCAGATGCAAAAATTCTGTTCTGCTCAGGGGGGCAGACACAGGGGAGGAGCAATGGCGACACTCATGGTTGTTGTTTGAAATCTTGGAGCTTCTCAGAAATGGCAGCCCTGAGTCAGAGTGGTTGTGCCAGCCCCTCCCAGCAC